GGTTCGGATCCCACATACAGACCGGCAGCTCACTGGCTGAGCGAGGTGTGGGGCAACACTGAGGGTTGTGATCCCGTTGCCGGTCACGAAAAAAGACAAAAAGGAAAAAAAAAAAAAAAAAAAGAAAGTAAGACTATAAAAACCAGTGATCTAAGAAGACATCTCCAGAAATTAGAAAGAAGAGTAAAGTAAGTCAAAGAAAGTAGAAGAAAGGAAGAGCAGAAATTAATAAAATAGAAAACAAATGCACAAGAGAAAAAATAAAAGTCAACAAAACCAAAACCAAAAGTTGTTTTTTTAAAGACTAACAGAACTGACAGACTACTAGCAAGAAAATGAAATACTTAGTATATTTCAGACTTCAACATGTTACCTGCGTTAGCCTCCTAAGACTCAGAGCTACCCTGTGGGGTGGGCATTGTTAGCCCTATCTTACACAGGAGAGAGTCTGTAGTCTGCCCAAGTTCCTATATCTAGGAAGCAGTTTAATCCCTCAGACTCCCCAAACACCTTTCGTGAGGCCTGCCTTGTGCCAGGCTCTGGGCTGGGCAGTGAGGCCATACAGGTCAGTAAGACACAGCCTGCGTCCTCAGAGAGCACCCAGCCTGGGAACTGAGGAGAGGCCTCCTGGTTGTCTGTCTCCGCCACATTTACACAGTGCTCTCACAAATGTAGTCTCACTGGGAGAAGAAACAGGGCAAAGGAGAAACTGGTTTTTTCTTCTAGTCCAAACACCTATATTCCCATCATTTTATTTTACACAGACACAGACACACACCTACAGAAACACACTAAATTCTCTTTTTTCTCTGGATTTCCATTCCCTCTTCTGAAGAATGGAGTTTAGACTGTCACAGTGACTTCTGGGCTCATGGTGGAAATGCAGATGGTGCAGGGGGACAGGGGTGGGTGAGGCCAGGAACTCCTCAGTAGGAATTAGGCCAAGGGACTCTGAGAGCACAGCCTGAGGACAGGTCCATTTTGATGTGGATCTGGACCATGTGGCCCTAAGATGCACAGCCTGGAGCCTGCACTGGGGAGGTGGCAGTGAGGGTCGTGGGTCACTGGGGTGGGGTGGAGCTTGCAGGGTCTCCTGCAAATACAGCTGAGTGTTCTCCGGCAGGCGATTTACAAGCTGAAGAAAGCCTGCCGGCTGGAGGTAGAGACCAAGCAGGATGGTCAGCTGCTCACGCCCGAGGAGGTCGTGGACAGGATCTTTCTCCTGGTGGATGAGAATGGAGATGGTAAGTGGTGCGGGGAGGGTGGGGAGGGCTGCCTGCTCTGCAGTACACCCACTTTCTGGCTGTGAGTCCTTGGGCAAGGCCGTTACCTCCCAATGCCTGGTATCCCCATCTGTGAGATGCCTGTGGAGAGGATTACGTGAAATAACAGGTCATACGAGCACATGATGTTTGTAGGAGCGATTAAAACAATAGGAACTTTAGAGTCAGGTAGACTGGGGTGGTACATTCAACCTCTCAGCATGGTCTCAGTTTCCTCATCTGGAAAATGGGGATAGTGACAGAGGTTGAGAGGAATAAATGGGATGATGTGTTTAAGAGCCAAGCACAGGGTGGGCCTCCATGAAGGCTGCTTGGGCTCTCCTCCCTGTAGCTTAATGCCCAGCCCCAAGGCTGGCTTGGCACACACACACAAGAGCTCTCCAGAATCTCTCAGCTACACCCAGGATTTCAGAGGTACCATGGGCAAAAGTAGAACTTTAATTCATCTGCAAAGAAAGCCCCTTAAAGGTTCCAGGAGACTCCTGGAGAATCAGTCGACAGACTGTGGGCTTAGGACTCGAGACTGCAGGCTGGTTTGTATAAAAAGCAAAGGCACATCCTAGGAGAGAAGATCTCTCCTCCTGTCCCAGCCCCAGGTCTTCCCTTCTCCCGCATGACTGTCTCTCCTATCCCTTGCTCAGGCCAGCTCTCTCTAGACGAGTTCATTGAGGGCGCCCGTCGTGACAAGTGGGTAATGAAGATGCTGCAGATGGACGTGAATCCCAGCAGCTGGATCTCTCAGCAGAGACGGAAGAGCGCCATGTTCTGAGCCGTCTGGGGCCCCAGGAGCCCTGGAGCAGTCCACAACCCCCTCTAAGACTCCAGGCTCACCCAGGTCTTCAGAGTAGTGGGAGGGTTCCTGGCTCAGCCTGCTCAGTCCCACTCTTGCCCTGGTGTGGACTTCCTGGCACCCCCTGTGCAGGGTGAGTGGGAGCGGGGAAGGGCTGCTGGCTCTGAAGTGGCCAACAGGGCACACAGTCCATTTTGGAAGATTTACTGGGATGGAAGGGCACTCAGTTACTCTCCCCCGTCAGCTGTTCCTTGGAGAACTATGCCTTGGCTGGGTGGTTGGAGGCCTTCTACAAATTAACAGACGTTTTCAGTGGGAAGCAGGGACCAACGGAGGAGTGGTCCTATAGATCAAACCAGCAGTGAGGATGTCCACGCTCAAGGGGATGTGAAGCAAAGACTGGTGGGAAGCAGGGGCTGGAAGGCGTTGAGACTGAATTAAAGGTAGAAATGTGTGTGTGTTTGGGGGGGTAATAATTACATAACCCAGGATCCTGAGGAGCATTCATGGGGAGGACCCTGCCTTCTCCTCCCCAAGGTGTCCTCACCAGGGATGTCAACAAGGGAAAACTGCAGCAGGTCAGATAGCAGACTGTGGTCTTTCCATCCTTGGAGGGGTCAGCTGTGCTTAATGGGACTGTCTCAGCTCTGCCTGGGTGCTGCTCCCCCAGCCCCTGCTGCCAGCCCACCCCCCTCAACTCCCCCCACCTCTCTCTCATCCTCCATACCAGCCTCCCCCACCTCTGTCCTCAGAATGCGTCTTCCACGATTCCCAGCCAGACACCCCTGTGTCTCCTTAAAGAATGGAAAAACCTGCCTTTGGGGAGAATTGGGGTCCTGCTGACCTGAGTTCTAGGCCGGGCTTTTCCTCCAACTGCTGTGTGACCCAAGACCACTTCTTTTCCCTAAGCTGGGTTATCTCATCTGCACGGTGAGCAGGTTGGACTAGACGAGCAGTTTCAGATTCTTATTTTTTTAGATGTGGAATTCCTTTTTGTTATACTATTACGTGCAACCCCAATACAGAAACTAGATTAAAAGGGAGCTGCTCACATTGAAGTGGGGACTGAGGAACTCAGACCCCTCCCACCCCTGGAGCTGCAGGCACCTCTGAAAACATGAAGTGAAAACCAGTGCCCTGGATCAGTGTTACCCCCGTGAGATGACTTAAAGTGGGAACTGAAAAACATTTGCTTTACCTGGAATAGATATGTTTTTATGTTGATATATGAAAAATAAAATCAACCTATTGAACTTGTGGTTTTACAGATATGATATCTCATATAAAAGTTTCTTTTAGAAATCAATTTTAGGCAAAAGATGGTTGATTAAAAACATTCATAATAATCCATGTGGAACACAGATATGTCCCAAATCATAAAGGTGGTATGTGAAAGAGGTTGGGGGAATGTTGCCCTAATTATATGCAGACACCCTCCCAACTCTGACCTTCAGCATCTCCCAAGAGGCAGCCAAGAAGAGAAGGAGCAGAAATGTCAACTCCCTTTTTTTCCCAGACTGCCTGTGGCATTGACCTTCACCTTCCCTCCATGTCTGTTGCTCAGGCTCCCCACACCCAGCTGCAGCCAGCTGAAGTAAAGACTCAAAGCCCAGAAGGAGCATCTTTTAAAAAATGGTCACAACTGCCACAGCCCGTGTCTTTCCCCAGGTTCCTGTGGCAACCAGGCAGCTGTAACTCAGGGGCAAAGCTGAAAAAACCTTCCATGAATGGGTAGATCTCTGAGTTGGGTATTCTTAAAGTTGGGGTGTACACAGAATGGGGATGGGGCTCACCTGTAACAGACTGCCCACTTCCCAACTGGTGTCAGGTGTCACTGCAGCAGGAGGGATTTAGGTTCGACCAGTCACAGAGCTGTGGGGAACCCTGTGGCACCACACGCCACCAAGCAGGGTATGTATCAGGGACTTGTGCACTCTCTTCTGAAACAATATGGATTTCCTCTGCATATGCGAGGGCTTCCTGCAGTACCACCCACCTTTTTTCACTTTTTGGCCAACATCAAGCTTGAGAAAACCCTCCCAGAGTATCTGAATGCACACACATGCATGCACACACACACATGCACACATGGCAGGTCACTCAGTCATAATTCAGATCCTCACTGTCATCCAAACATTCCATCCTTGTCTCCTTGGTAGGATTATATTCTTGAAGGAGCTGGGTTTTTTTCTCTTACTGGGACTCTAGGAGTTTCTCCCTAAAAATGGACATGGTGACCCTGATTGTTTTAAATTTGATAAAATTCAAATCCTAAGGGATATCCCCAATTTATACCTAAAAATGTCCCTCCCCATATCACACAGCCCCACACGACACATATCACAGAGAATGCACCTCCATCCTTCCCACACACATCACCTTCTTCTCCATGTGCAACCCCCAACCCCTCCTTCATGTCCAAAGTCAAAGGTCACTTTTGCAATGCAGCCCCACACGACACATATCACAGAGAATGCACCTCCATCCTTCCCACACACATCACCTTCTTTTCCATGTGCAACCCCCAACCCCTCCTTCATGTCCAAAGTCAAAGGTCACTTTTGCAATGCTGTCTCTGAGTCAGACTCCCACAGGAGTCTCCCACAGGAGTCTGTTCATAACTTCTCTTAGCATGTTTTATTATAATGATGCTTCTATGTGTCTCCCCATTAACTCTTTGTCCCTTGAGGATGAGTCCCATCTTCTTTTTACGTCTAACATGTAGCATTAGTACATAGTAGGTATGCCATAAATGCTCATTGAAGGGAAGACTGAATCAATACAAACCACACAAGCAGACTCCAAGGTCCTGGGGGCAGGATGGGTGTGTGACTGCAGCACCAGGATCGAGGCTGCAGCCACTGGATCTGCAGAATTCCATCAGAGACCTGGAAAAGCCCAGCTCTGCCTCGGAGCTCCCACATCTAGAAGAGTGTGGACTAAAGAAGCTCAGCGGGGAAAACTGGGAAAAGCCGGGTGAGGAGCCAGAAGGGGCAAGGCAGGAGCCCAAGGGCAGAGGCATGCCGACAGTGACCCCAGCAGGGAGTGCTGCCACCAGCTGTGTCTCCTAGAGGGTCCAGGAACCATCCTTCAGTGTCTCCAGCTCTGGCTTCCCACCCCTGCCCTTCTGCTGTCACCGTGCACCCCAAAGAGGCTAGCTGAGCCTTTGGGTTCAGTTGATTCTCTCCAGTATTAAGACAAAAACAATGACAGCAAGCACAGCCATACCACCCCCTGCCAGTACAGAAGCAGCTGGGCTCTGGGCTCAGCCAGCCGCCTCAGCTGCCCCAAGGCCAGCTTCTTCCTCCTCCTCGCCCTTCTGGAGCCTGCGCACGATACGGGTAAGGTCCAGGCTTCGTGTCAGCGTGTCCAGGAGCATCTGGTCCTTCTGGACACCTTCTATGAACTCTTCCAGGGATAGTTCCCCTGGGGTGGAGAGAAAGGGAGCCATGCGGAGGAGGGTGTCCACGCCTGCAGCCCAGGACCCAGTGCAGGATTCTTGCAAGGGGCCAGGACAGAGCCAACGCTAGGAAAAGTGGCCTGTGGGCATAGCAGGCAGAGGGGCTCAGAGCCCAAAGTCTGGTCCAAGAATCCCTAAAAGCCAACTCTGTCGCTGGGGCAGAGGTGGATGGAAGAGGGGACCAGCAGAGGACCCTTTGTGCTTCCTCCTCCCCTCCTATACCTCACCCCTGCTGACCCTCCCCGGGAAGCCCCTCCTAGGCCCACTTACCATCCCCGTTGATGTCAATCTTGGAGAACACCGTATCTGTGAATTCTTCGGCAGACATGGTCGAGTCGCTGCAAGGGTTAATGGCTCGAATGGCCTGGGCGGGAAGAAGAGGCAGAAGAAAGGGGACCCATCCTAATTCTGCCTCAGTGGTGGGTGCGGACACAGTCAGAGCTGGTCTGACTCCCAACAGCCGTGGGGAGCAGAGGCCACCGTACCGGGGGCCATAGGCAGGGCTGGGACTTAAGAGTCGAGCTTCTACAGTCTCCTGGTACCGGCGAGGAAACCGAGGCCCACCCAGGGGAAGGAACGTGGTCTGGGTCACGCAGTTGGTGAGGGCCAGAGCTGAGTCCCAAATCTTGTCTCAGTCCTGAGACCGCAGGTCCCACCCGCGGGGCTGTCAGCTCTGGGTCCCCCCAGGCTTCTGCACCTGCCCTTACCCGTATAATGGTGAGCAGCTCCTCGCGGTCGATGCAGCCGTTGCCGTCGACGTCGTACAGCTTGAAGTACCAGCGCAGCTTCTGCTCCACCTTGCCCTTGAGGATGAGGCTGAGCGCCGCCACATACTCCATGAAGTCGATGTGGCCGTCCTGGGCGAGGGGCGCGGCCGGCGGTGAGCACACCCCGCGCCCCGCACACCGCACCCAGCACCCAGCACCCGCACACCGAGCCCCGCACCCTGCGCCCCGCGCCGGCCTGGCCCACCCTGCCTGCGCCCAAGGCTGCCCATCAAATCCGATAACACAACCCACAGGGGTGAAACGGCTGATACTGTCTCTTCACGGGCGTTGGGGTTTTCATTGTCACTGGCTGCTTCCCTGTGACTCTCAAACTTGAACCCTTCCCGTCTTGCAGGAGGATGCACTCTTGGAAGTTTCTGACTGGGGCCGAGGAGCTGGGGTAGGGGCAGGAGAAAGGGCGCCTCTCTCTTTCTTCCCTCTGTGCTTCCAGCTTTACTGAGCACCTCCTACGTGCTGTGGTGCGCTGTGAGGATCCAGGACTCAGGAAGATATAAACCCTGTCCTGATAGGAGCCCAGTGTTGAGGACGCGGGTTTGAATCCTGGCTTCACCCTTTCAAAGCCGTAGGATCTAAGACAAAGGACTTAATATGACTCTTGCCCTGGGTTTCATCACCTGTAATAGTTACATAGTACCTACTTCTATGGGATTGTTATGGGCCTGAATGAGCTCATGTATGTGAAGCCCTCAACACGGTCTGGCACATGGTAAGCACTCAATAAATGTAACCTA